CACAGAGAGAATGAGAGAGAGAGGAATTTTCCAGGCCCGGAGCTGTGTGTACATGTGTCTTCATATATTTGTGTGAGGGAGGCGTGGGAGTATATACTGTACGTAGCTAAGGTGGAACAATAAAACTGTCCATTGAGTCACACCAAAAATACCCCTGCACTTCGCCTTCTGCCCTGCTGGGAAACAAACTTGCACGCAGCTGCAGTGAGGAAGGAAAGGACGTCTATTTCTTTTGTCAGGGGGGAAATCGGGAGTTTCAATTCTTAGGATGCTCAGAGGGAAAAGCAGGAAGCCACCTTGCAGGAAAAGTGAAGGGGAAGGCTTGTTAGACTGTTTCCTTCATTTGTTTACAGGAACTGCAATTTATCACTCAAATCTTTCATCAGACGGCTCTCTTCCCCCTTCCCTTTCTTGGCAACCTTGGTCCATTCTGCTCTTACCTACCATCTTGATATTTTAGGCTTAAAATGTAATTTAGTGGATCACATTTCAGCATTTTAGAATCTTAACCAGCACTGGCATGTGCATTACGTTGTGCGTCTGTTTCCAGGCCCTAAAATGTACAGGGCTACTCCTACACCTGGTTTTAAATCAAGAGTGGGGTGAAACTCAGGAGAAGACCTCTGTCCTCTCCCTGTATCTCAAGTCATTTAGATTAGGTTTCATGCCCATGAATGATTCAGGATAATAAAACATCAGAACATACATTTTAGAATGCAAAGCGTGAGACTTGGACTTACTATGCTCCAGCTCTGGCAGGGAATTATCTCACCACTTAAAAATGAGAAGATACTACACCATTGGCGTCTGTTCCTTATCTACAAAAGTGAGATGAAAGCTTCACTGATGTGACTCTCCAAACATATAGCTACTACAGCTGTGTGTGGACATCCAGGTTTCTCAAATTTAACAAACACAAGCTCTTGAGGATTGCCCTTCTGTTGGTCTCAAACAATGTTACCAAACGGTATCTGTAGATCTGGTATGCACACACGTACAGAACATCTAACTCAAACGATTTAGCAAATTTAATAATTTCTTTCCTACACCAAACTTATTCACAGAGAATCACAAATATCAGTAGATATGATATAATGATATAAATGTGAGACTGTCCTTCACTTGTTTACAGGCACTGCAATCTTGAAATCTTTCATCAGAAGGTAAACTCAAACAAACTCAAAGGCTAATGTACTGTATAAACCAAAACTGACAACAGCTCAGGGAGACAGAAACCACTATTAGTAAAACCAACTACTGTATAACCTCAAACTGTTCAGGGTTCAGGAAACAGGATCAATGCACCCTGAATGTGCTCAGAAGAAAGGATTCCAAGTACCGTACATTTAAACTCATTGGTGCTGTCTGTTGAGGTTGCAATCTGAGGGACGCATATTGTATCATAAAGATTACCAAAAATTATGTGATTCCGTGTTCAATGCTAATGAATGAACCACAGAATTAAGTGCTGCTGTGGATTTTCAGTCAGGCCCCACCCTGTGGTCTGAGCTACAGAATAGCCTATTGATCCTTGCATGCAGGAATGCAGGGGAGATGAGCTTGATTGATAACAAGCATCTCTCAGGAGAGTCACTGAACCCAGGGCAGTGCTTCCCATGATGGATGTCCACACCTGGAACCTGGGTGTGTAGCAGAGAGTTATGGGCACATCTGGACGATGGCCTTTAAGACACAAGTCACGGTCAATCGCCCAAAAGAAGACAGACGAATCAGGGCTCTACAGGGTGTAAACAGCCACTCCACCTGGTGACCACTTGGCCAACCCCTTACCTTATTTTCCCCAGTTAAAAAGGCAGTCACCCTTGTCTACAAATGTTTTCCTAGTTCAGCTCAAAGCTAGCCTCTTGAAGAGAACATGAGGCTACAGCCCCAGCTTCTCTTTCTCTCTAACATTCGGATGCTGCACCAGGACTGGTTGGTACTGGGCCTGCAGAGCACTGATTGGACATTAGACAGTTAGACAGGCCCTGTCAGTTCATCCCTTCTCCTTCTGCACGGGCGTTAAGAGTGCATGACTGTTGGATGAGTATTTCACTATTCAACATTATCGATTTAGACAATTCAAATGTTTGATATCAATTTAATATATCTAAATAACAGTATTTACTTATGAGTATTTGCATGAAGAGTCTTCTTATGATACTAATAAGTTAGTATAATCAATTTTTCCAAGCCCGTAGTTTCTCATTTCACCTCGGACAGCCATGATCACGCTGATCTCTCTGCCTCTGTTTTCAAAGAAGGGTTTCTCAACTCCCACAGCTGAAAGACAACAGAAACGAAACTCATCCTGAAACTGGGTTCACACCTCCCCCCTTCTCTCAATGACAGACTTATTTTTGTGTAATCTTCTCTATTCTCATGCAGGTTTTGACTCCACACCTTTCTCCACCCCTCTCCACTTTGCACTTCCTGAGTGGCCTTTCATCCACTCTCCTCCACTTTCCCATCTTTTGTTCTCCTGTGCTATTTAATCTGTCGTCTACCCCGTCTTTCTCACACCCGAAGAAGGCTCCACAGCTGAAGTGTTGTGTTTCCTTTCTTTTCTTCTCAGCACGGAATAAACCCGATACCTGTTCCCTTGCAGCCTACGCATGCTGACGCAGCTACCTACTTGAACATAATCAATTTTATACCAAATGCGTAATCCTTGTGTTTGTATCTCTTTGTAATCTTGACATCCATTATATCTTGGTAACCCTCAAGTGAATGATCTGCTGTTTGTATCTAGGCAGACTGTTTCATGTATTTCCATTGATTGTTTTTATGTACACATGTGGTATTAAATGCATTCTGTGTATTTTGAATCTGTAGTGTGCAGACTGTCTGTTATTCAGCTGATTGATTACTAATAGCAAAGAAAAGCTCACGCAATTTACTGTTACAACCTATAAATTGGGCCAATAAATTCACACAACTCCTACACCATGCAGTATCTGCTGTATTTTAGAATTGCAAGTATTAGAAAATGTATTAGAAGAATGTATATCCTTCTTCGCTGTATTGTTGAAATCCCTTTTGCTCTTATCTCTGGGGACATACATCTCATCATCCAAATTAGAGAATAATCAGCATGTGCTGGAAGGAGTATTTTAATTTTTGAAGCTGAGAAGAGAAGCACATGTACACCCACCAGGGCTAAGGCACCAAGAGATTTACATTGTGGGTGTCACCCCCCTCTGAAAGCTAGACAGTGTGAAACTCTACCATGGCAAAGGTCTGGTCTTTCTGTGTGGCAGAGCTACAATATCCGCGGTGTAGGCAGTAGGGAGTATTTACATAAATATGACGCACATTAGCCTTTACCAAAGATTCATTCAAAAAAGGTGATGCCCTTCTATAACTAGGTTTAGAACATAGAACATATTCCAGTAATTAGGAAATCCGAGTTAAGCAACATCAGTTCAGATGGTTACTTGATGATAAGTTAGTCTGATTTTCTTTAAAATATATATTGGACGCGAGCTACTTCAATGTTTTTACAGTCATGCAGAATGTCTTCACAGCAGCTCACACAGCCTTTGACAATTACTTCTACAATTACTTCCAGAACTACTTCTACACATTTAGCAGAGTTGACTAACAGTGCAACTTCACTTGTGATTGGGGTCAGACATCGTAAACGATGGTTTTTAGGACAATGTGGCAGCAATGTCCTCCATACTCTGTAGTTAGAATAGACATCTGGCCAAACTCTTTGATGCTGTTGCTGGACTTCATTATGTTATATACTGTACCTTCCACCCCGATGATAAAAGCTAACTGGGTCTATTGCTGTACTCTTTATTCAAGGGGAGGGGATGAGCCAAAATGCAGCCAAGAAACATGCTCTTTGTTTGATTTTTGACTAAATATGGATTTGAATAATTTTGTCTTAAAATGATATTTCGTAAAAAGAGATGTCACTTTTGCTGTGTTGTATTTCCATTTTACAAACCTTTGCTTCTTTTTCATGTTAATGATTTTTATATTTCATAAATATGTGCTATAAAAAAATCAGTGCAATGGCAGAGCTATGCAAAGTTAGTAGGTCTGTACACTGAATTAAAATGCAAACTACTCTTACATACTACAAGTCCACAGAACATGTCACCATGTGTGTGCATACTGTATGTTCTCTTCTAATGACATTCTACAAGGTTACAGTCAATTTCTCCAAAACCCTCTGAAGTGTGGCAGATGAAATCAAACTTCTCATTCAGTTCCTCAGTAGAGCACGTATTGGCTTGAAATGTAGTTACTCAGGTATCACTCAGGTAAAAATCACATTGATTCAGAATTGCTGCTACTATTGACTCACATGTGATTATCCTTCCAATCAAAATAATACAGCGAATAATTTTAAAATAAAATCAACACAGTGTGGATTCTTAACCTTCTCTTAAACGTTTTAAGTGGAATATTTTAGTTCTAAACCACTACAGCTTAATGCTTTTTTTGGTCATTTTCCCCCATTTGATTGCCAGCCAGCATCTTGATATACTATATTATTAAAGCATTAGTTGCAAGTAATAGTTTTGGTTACAGTATGTCGCAAGCTTGAAAAGACATTCTTTGTGTTTTTGATATTTTCAGATTACAACAACAGTGTTTATAAATTGAATTATATATATATACAAACATGCTCAAGTCATTTATAAAGGGGAAAAAAGGTTCCAGCTATAGGTTCTAGGCCTTGATTATTGTATATTAAAGTAAAACCGTCTAAACTTCTTTTACTGGAAGACAAATACGCCCTGTTTTCTAAGCTGCAGTTGCTTATTTAAAACTACACACTGGACAGTTTGGTTTCCTTATCTTATACTGAATACAATTACTAAGAAAAACATTGTATTTCTGTTTGGTCAGCTCAGATTTACACATGTGCCTTCTGCTCGAGTGTAAATAGCTCAAACTGCTATGCAGTGGACGTTCTACTGTTTTACAGTTTTTTAACAGCAATTTTAAAACTCTCACAAAAGACAGCAGGGTCCCCTGACCTTAGACCTGTGTACTTCTCCATCATCGTCTTCTCCTCCTACTCCCAGGATTTTGCGGGTTTTCAGGCGGCTGACCAGGTCCGTCTGGCTGTGCTTCTTCATCAAGGGGGGGTGAGGTTTGGTAGCCATGTATGTCGCTGCTGACCAGCACTCCAGAGACCCTGGGGACACAGAAGGCAGAGTGTCACTGACACAACAGCCGCACGCTTCACTGCCCACCTCTCCCACTTACACCTCAGTCAGATAAGACAGCTAAGTCACACTGCGTATGTGCGGAGGTATGAATGTCCCAGTTCCTAGACATCCCTGCGATGTGAGGAAACAACCACCACCAACATCCAATAAAAAAAAAAATCTATTCAAATGCTACAGCCTCTGCACAAAAAACATTGAAGATCTTAAAATATTTCCACACTTAGAATACGTACTGTATGGACAGTGGCCTATGAAAAGCCTCAGAATCCCGAAAATACTTTTTCTAGGAGACTCGTTACATTTTTTGTAACATTACCATGCTGATCTTAAAACTCTGCTAAACTCAGAGGTATAATGTCATCAAAAATACAACTCATATCCTACGTACTGCATTCAATGTCCTGCACGTACAGAATATAGAAAATACAGAAATACGCTGAATTTCTAGATGTTCCACGAAAGGTTGGCAATAAAACATGACTTACAGATGACAAGAACACTTAAGATTCCAGGATATTAAAAGTGCTATGAGTGCATATTTTATTTCCATATTCTACTTTGTTGGTTCAACGCATGCAACTTGTCTCAAGAAAAAAAAAAAGTATCTTTTACATCTACTTACTCAGGAGGGGAAGATTTTAGTGGTTGAAACCTATCTTAGAACAAGTGAAGAATCTATTAGTCTTTGCGGCTTTAGACCAAAATATTGTGTAAATTTATGTGCAGCAGGTGCTGCTATTTCCTTCCCCAACTTTTTTAATAGAAGCCAGGCGGCTACTGTGGGGGGGGGGGGAAGAGTGCATTTCTGCGATAAGAAGGGAAGAACTACTTGCTCTCCGAGATGCTCTGAAAGACCTGCTCTGTGAAGAAAAGCCTTCAGCCTCTTGGCAGAAAACAATATTGCATAGTTTCACTAAGAGCACCACACACACTGTACCAGCATGCATCTGGGAATTTCTTACAGAGATCAGACTTATAATGTTGCCTCTTCAAAGGATGTTTCCAGAAGTCCTCCCAGATGATTACAACAGAAAAGAGGGCCAGTTTTAGAAAACACACTTCTGAATTCAAAACCAGAAATTTAAAAAGGTATGGAAAGAAGTAATACAGCAATGCATTCAATTATTTACAGCAAAACAGGTAGGGTTCCTAACATAATGCACAGCTGCACATGTAAGAGTGGGGCCCAGCTGTTAAGTGCATCTCCAGCGTGGAGCTGTTGTGAGAAATGTGAATGGATTTTGAGGTAGGCAGGAGGAATTGGGAGAGATGAAACACCATGGAGAGCAGGTACAGAACCTCCAGTCAGTAAAACCCAGTGAGACACCGAGCCAGGCTGAGCGCCCGGCACGCGTTTCAGCTTCAAGCCACACCAATCATAATCACCAGCTTCCACCTCTGAGATCAGCGCAGTCTGGTGCGCTATACACACACACACACAGAGGCTTCGCCCAAAACATCAATTATGTGCTTTGAACCGTGCTTTTTCTGACACAGCACAGGCCCTGTAAATCCATGACATATATAAACATTCGTAAGTCAATGTCTCTAGAGACCAGCACCTCGCACACAAAAACAAGTGTCACATATTTCCAGATACTGTCTTCTCTTTTTGGTAAAACCAGGCATGCACCGCACAGAAGCGGAAGACCCAACACTTACTGTAAATGCAAACAATTTCTACTTATACTTAATAAGTAGAAACTATAACCAACAAACAACTACACATCAACAGGAACGTCTGAAATCTGTAGGTGTGGGACATTTCAAATGTGCAGGCATGTCTTGAGCAATAAAACATTTCAAATGGGGGAATAAATCACGGCATGGGAAAACATGGCCCAGGACACCATAATGACGACATTGTTCCCTTGCTAAAGCTGAAACATGGAACAAAAATGGTGCAAAGAGAAGTCGAGCTGCACAAGGATCAGATCTCCTGCTTCCCTCCCAGAAGCGGCTGCGCGCACACCAGCCGCGGTGAAACCTGTCCCGTGCGCTCGGGACCGGGAGAGCACACGCGCACCCGCCTCTCCCGCTCGGGCTCCGTCTCCCGTTCCGCCGCGCGCAGCCGCCAGGCCTCCCCCCTCCCCCCCCGGAAACCGCAGCAGAAAGCGCCTCTTCGGTACCAAAAAAAAAAACTGCCTCTCGGTCTTGATTTACTCCTCGTCTCATTTAAAACCCGAAAAGTTTTTAGAAACCGCTAAGCACATTTCTTAATTTAGAAACGACAGTATTGAAAGGCAAATGCCCCCCAAGACCTGTTGCAGCTAACCATTAAGGCTCCTACTCCTATTAAACATAATACCTAACACATTTGTGCTAAACACAAATTAACAAAATTATTCAATTAGCAATAGACAACAAACTTCCAAGTCGTCTTCTTGTGCTGTGTGATGTAAGATAAACCACAAAAACCCCCCAGTTGAGCCAAGAAAGTACCAATCAGTAAAATACTGTTAATGCCTATTCTGCAGTTGGTGATATGCAACTAGGCCATCAGGAAAGTCTTTATAGAGTCATGTTTTTTAACATATTTTACAAAGCAGGATGCTATGGTTAGGGGTGGTCATATTTCCCAGATCTGATGACTTATGTGCAGGTTACAAAGAAAAAGTACCTTATACAGGCATTTAAGAATAATATTTGTAGGCTACTGCTAATAAAATATATGGTTGAGTTCTATGTGCAGAATCTCTACAAGTCTATACCTCCATTTGTTAATTATCTCTAAAAGCTTTATTTATGAAAAGCATGTATCTCCTTTGTGACGCTCTGAAGAGTATTAAACTGCTGCTGACACAGTCCTTTACAATGCTTGAGGAAACAAAAGGAAGAGCTGGTTCAATATTTTAAGAAATATTAAGACAATTAATTTCCCAGCACTACAGTAAGAGCTTTTCACAATTTCTGTAAGTGACAGTGTAATGGAGATCTTTGTTGCTTTAAAGGGCAATAATACAGTATAATGCCAAACTAAATAAAGATGTGAAACAACAGTGAGGCATTATAAAGCTACTGTCTGTACTGCTTTTGCTGTTCAGCTGAATATGAAGTACTAATTTGATCATAACTGAAATATTTAATGTATTTCAGAGAGCCTTGTAGGTTTGCACACAAAGTACACAATACTGTGTGTTTATTTATAACAAACACTGATACATAAAGTGTTCAAGCAGAAAAGCATTTATCCTTCCATGTTTCACTTCAAGAGCTTAGCCACATTCATCTTTTGTGTACTGCCAGTGTAGCTGTCTGTCAAACACAATGCATGGTGAAATTTCTAACAGGCTGCAGCTAGGCCATAAATCTTTGTATTAAAGACTTAATCATTACCCCGTTTTATAAATGTTTGCTGTACATTCATATTGGTTTTATAAAATGATCAGTCATGGACTATGACTATGACAAATATTTAATCTTTTGAAAAATCTGAAGTTTGTAGCTTTGATTTACAAAGACAACACAAAACATGTTTTTATTCATGAAGTGATAATCTATGGACAAAAAACTCTCTGACAAGACATTTACTTGCACTAGAACGACATTTGCAACTACAATAGTACCAAAGCTTTAAGGCATAACTGACAGTACAGTACTTTCCTACTGACCTCTATTCTGTTTAATTAGTTTCCACCACATTAATAATTCTGAATGTCTGGGTGAGTTGACTACTGCACATTTCAAGCCAGTGGCTGAAAAGCCTGTTGGGAAACAAACTCAGTCTAATTACAATTTAGATATGACTCTTTACACTCTACTTTAATGAACAGCACCAACAAACAATATGGTCATCTTATTATTGTCAAACAGCTCACAGCTCACAAGGGTCATCAAAAATAACTCTCTCATGCTCACCCTAGCAGACATGCACAAATTCCTTAAAAGTCTACACAAAGACAGGCCAGAAATAAATTCATTTTAGCTACTGAACCAAAACAAGAAAGCAAACTATTTATAAAGCAGAAAATCCTGCTGAACACTATAGTGCTTATTCTGTAAACTCAAAGTGATGTCCATTCAACAATAGCTGCATGAAATGCTAAACAAAACCAATTTAACTGGAAACCCTTGACTGGTAACTGGTAACCCATTTCAAATTTTACCTATAGGAGTAGCACAAATGACAAAGACCTCTGGGACATCAGAGACCTTAAGTCAATGTCTTTGTCTAATCTCGGGACCATCCTGGTCTAAACACCTGTGCTCATGTCTCGATGTCTGCTCTCAGATATGCGTGTCTGAGATTGGCTCTTATAGAAACCAGCCATTTTTCTCATATGAGACTTAGTGACAGGCCAGCCCATAACTCCTTTGGTGTTTGTCTAAGCTGCAGCTTAAAGAACAAATGCACTACTTCCAACAGCTCACATTAAATCCATTACCCTTTTACTTGGATGAATTGCTAAATAACTGTTTGCTGCAACTGTACTGGCTATGTCAAAGTGGTAGGCAGATCCTGGTGATTAGAAATGCATGTATTTGAAATGATAGGTACCACCAAGAAAAACATACAAAAGAAGATATAAAAATCAGCCTTCCTTCACATGGAACTCTTTGTACATTTGAAAACCACATATTTCAATGCAGAAATGTATTTATCTGTTACAGTACACAGTGCACATTTTCACCTACTGCACTCTTTTCACCCTGTTACCCCTATTGGCCTATACTCTGTAGTCCAGATGAATTTATCTACACATCTGGGACAAATGCTCAATTCAAAATGCAAACAAGATATGCCTCTGCAAAAACTTGAAGCTTCAAAAGGCATTCAAGGCATTTACAGGATTAGGTATAGTAATGCCATCATGCATTCATGTGAACAGCAGAAGGCATTAGCTAAATTATATTCATCTCCTGTGAATTCTACAGGTGGTTAAAGGGCAGTGATCAAATGTACAATATATTTCACTTCTGCTAAAAAAAATTCAATACATCTTCATTTCTATTGTTAACTGCTTAG